AATTACAACGTAAGATATGCAGATGTTCTGAATAGTTAATTGACATGGAAAATATAAGTCAAGAAAGAAAGTGTTTGAGTCTTATTTATAGGAATTTGTTACTTGTTCTAAACATTAATAAAACATATATTCTTCGTTTTGGCAAATGGAACTTACGTCGATGTATCTAATATTGCTTTCATGTTATGTATATCTAATTTGATTACTAGTGTGTTAGTTGTAAATTCTTTTTTATTTTATTTTATTTTTAAATTAAATTTTATTTTTATTTTATTTCATTACATGTTATTGTAATTGTACTTTTATTCACTGGATTTGACTATTTTCGGAAAATTCAGTTTTCTGTTTTGACCTAATAAAGAACGCAGTTCATTGCTACGTGGTATGTTTAGCTGATCTAGTTCCTGACCTTGATTATAAATTGGTAAACACAGAGTGAACACAATTGGTCGCAATCAAGGTCATACTTATCTTGAGCGATAGATCAATATTGTAAACAATCTTTTTAGAATCTTATAGTAAAATTTGTTATATAGAATTATGTTATTCCATGGCCTACGTGTCTACCGGCTGTATTATTTTACTGGGTTTTTCAAACTAAATGACCATCTAAGCCATCAAGTGATCTAAAATCGCGGGTTAAAATTGTTTCTTCAGAGTGATTTTAGTAAGTAGTAAATTTATACCTTCGAGTTCAAGATATTTGTCTTGCTCTTGCCACCTGAGTTGACTTTTGTATTTAAAATAACTTATCCGTCCTGGAAAATACTTATGCTCATAAAAATTCTTAGACAAAGACATTTAGTGGAAATTTTTCGGAATTCTAATGTCGGAGTGTTATATTTCAGCCATAAAATTAAATGATTGACAGTAGACAGAACAGCGCAAAACAGGTTATAGAAGATGCTGTCTCCTTCAATATTGGAACTTCATCGGGATTCGAGCTTGGATTTATTTAGAATTTTTCAGTGATAGGACTCATATTTTTTGACTCCATGATTAAATTTTGGATTATAGTTACAACGGTAAGTATGTTTGTCTTCATATTTTTATCTTATTTTTCTAGGGAAATAAATTATAACTGTAAACATTTGCAAAACTCATTCGCTACATTCTTTCCTTTCTTTATTACTTTTGTACTAAACTACACGTAACATTCAACAAAACTTACCCTAGTTCTTTGTTTTGATATCAATGTTTTTACTCTCATCTTCATACTTCTATGCATGGGCATGTCGTTTCATAAATATATTCACACATATTCATAGCCTTATAAAGGAAAATTTACAGAACAGAGCTGTGACAGCTACGTCTGTCCACTGCCACTTATTTTTTGAATATTTGTCTGAACCCAACAATAAAACAACAAAAATATCGGAGTCGTCAATCTCTTTTAAACGCATATGGTTCGTACATTATCAATCTGATTTTATATAATGTATGGATAAGGTTACTATCTCTTTTATCGTATATAAAATATGGAATAAAAATTAATTAGCAATTCATTCAACCCTTCATGTTACCATATTTATATGAAAACAAAATTAAGTATATCGTGTACATACAAAGTGAATATCCTTAATTTGACTGAAATAGTACTCAGAAATATAAACTAGAGTCCTGTAAGATGCAATGGTTTGTTCTGTCTCCCAAAGGCGAATATTTAAGCCTTCATCTAATCAGTGGCATCATTACGTGGTTGTGGGGTGTGCGGACCACACCGGATGAAACCATCGGAGGGATGAAACAAAAATGACTGTCTATAATATTTTAGAAATTTTGTGCAGAAGGAAGTCCATGGGGTGATACCACAAGTTACCGCACATGACTGTCTATAAAAGATTTGAATTTTTTTTGCAGGAAGGAGGTCAATAGGGGTGACTCTATGAGCTACCGCATTGGATGACAACAACCTTAGTGACGCCACTGCATCTAATTCGCTGCTAAAATTAAAAATTACCTTATGGTAACAAGATGGTTCACCAGAACATGACCCCTAAGCGGTCGCTCACAGATCTTCACGTAGGACAGGGTTCATAGGATTTTAATCAGATGACCCTAAATACCAAACAGTCTTATTGTTCTCTCTACTATATACAAGCAGTTCTAGTCTTGTTTACACGCAGTGATCTAATTGTGTAAAATGGTATCTAGTTTAGTTTTAACAGTACTTTTTTGGCCTATACATCATCTCAAATGATATTTGTCTACTTGAAATTCATGCTTTTGCGATGTTAGGCTACATGTTATGTATCAACGATAAATAATGTGTTTAATATAGAATAAGGTGAGTAAAGGCCACTATGCAGATAATTTGTAATGCATATTTAACTCTATTGAGTGTGTGATTTCTGCTATTTAGATCTTTAACGTATATTTAATATTGCTTCAGTCATATCGCGAATATGTCTGCAGTGGGGCAGTTTATAGTGATGTCTAGCACTCTGGAATCATGCCGCGGACAAGGAGCATCATGCCCAATCCAGTCATATTATTTATACAACAGGAAGACCAGATCTAACACTATCTTAATGCTGAGCGAACCGGCAACATCAGAGGCGGGCTTTATATCTACTCGGCCACTGGAGCGGTCTAACCCTATTGACTCATAAGGAATTCATGAGATATAAAATAAGTTCATATTCTTATTAAATTCAGATTGTGTACGTTTATAATAAGGACCATAATTACAGTGTTGATATGTAACTATTAAATCACCATTTAATTTTCAAACGAGTGTGCGTGGGCTTGGTGTAATCGCGGAGCAATAGCGACGTGCTCACATTTAAAAGGAAAACTGACGCTCAAAGTAGCTAACAAAACACTATTGTTCTGAATGTAGTAAACAGAAAATAAAATATCTAATTTTATATTTCATTTTTATCCCGGTCAAAAAGAAAATTCCAGGATCTTCTACTTTTTTCAGCTATTTTGAAATATATTTACTTCAAAACTGGTAAGGTTATGCGGACGCATAATATGAAGAGACTCAATCATTGTGTTTCATATTAGGTATTTTGCAGATAATAAGCATTTCACAATTTAATATCAGTACCTTCTTAATTCATCCAACTACACAAGCATATACTTCTATGCTAATATGTTTCAGACGACATGAAACAGCTTCTCGTCACATTATGGCAAAACATTGGAGAGCTCGAAATTGATATTCTCACTTTTCTTTCACTTAGATGTAGGCTACTCATTTTAGATTCACAATAATGCAACTTTGCAAAAGTACAGAAATGTGTAACTTCATATATTTATCAAATAAAAAATAATTCGTCCAATTTGCAATATATTCGTTCAGAAATATATTCTCAATCTTTTTAGTACATTTTTTACCAGGATAAATTATACGATTTTGATATTATCATGGAAATTTGTTTTCAAATAAAAACTCTCTCTCTCCCTCTCTGTATATATATATATATATATATATATATATATATATATATATATATATATATATATATATATATATATATATATATATATATATATATATATACATGGTACCATATGGATATAGGTGTATGTGTGTGCATGACGTTTGAAATTCCAGTGATATCGATCTTTGAGTGTTTTGTTAACTTCTCTCTCTCTCTTTATATATATATATATATATATATATATATATATATATATATATATATATATATTGTGATAGATAGATAGATAGAGAGATAGAAAGATAGAGAGATAGAGAGATAGAGAGATAGATAGATAAATAGAGAGATAGAGAGAGAGACAGAGACAGAGAGAGATAGAGAGATAAATAGATAAATGGCGTGACTTGGGACATACATTCCTAGTGCCATATAGGGTAAATATATTTACTGTTTGATTTCTAGCTATAGCATCAATTCTGAACGTAGACGTTTCTTGAAAAAAGTGTTTGCATTTTGATGGGCTTTCCATGAAAATATCCATCATCCTGGGCCGTAATGTGTGTTTTAACCTTTTATATTAATGTTAACTATTTTAGAATTATATTAGAAGTACTCATTTATATATTAATAACAGATAATTGTAGTATATGGTATAAAGGATTAATTTATTTAATCTACTTTGGAGTATATAACAATTGCTGAGAATGATTGAATTCATTCCTAAATATGAAAGATAGTTACAACTTGATTTGTTTGGTACGCTACTAAGCACAATGTGTAAATGTCTCCTCTTTAATCTGTGAATTGCATGCTGTATACCAACGGTAAAAGTTGCAACCAGTAAATAAAAGTAGTGTACAGAAAAGATACTTTTTCTTAATAATGTAGACATCCAAAATAGTACTTTCTGTTCTTTGAAGTTATACTTCACGTCAGTATTGCCACGTTTCTCGTGCTTAATCGTTGCCAGAAAGCATGTTTATTTTTTGGTTTATATTTCATTTCAAGACAATCGATACACATTCCTACGTAACAGGCCATCACACAGAGACGTATAGGTATAGTTTTCTGTCAATGGCGACATGATCATAAAAGACCCTTGCTCCTTCTGTTTGTATTGCCTGCAAAACACGTCCATTATAGGCACAAGGCTGTGATGCAACAAATTTCTCCTCTTGGGTTAGAGTTGGTAAATGAGGAAGCACCATAGCGAGCTTCTTTAGCTAAACCAAAAACTTTACTGCACGTCTGTTAGAACATTTTCAAAGTTATTCAAAGTCGTATTGACATAAAAAATATATGACGCATATATTCTTTACATTACCATTCCTATTAGGATTGAATCCACTGTTTAAGAAGATGTGATGTGATGTGTGATTATAATTTTTAACGTAGCTTTAACAGTTTTTTAGTCATATCGCTACGATGTCTGCAGTGTGGTAGTTTATAGCAATGTCTAGCAATGGGGAATCATGCCGCAGACATGTAGCATGACGTCCCACCCAGTCACATTATCCTGACACCAGGCCCACCAGTCCTAACACTAACCACTTAATGCTGAGCGTCAAGCGAGGCAGCTGTTAGTACCATTTTTGTAAGTCTTTGGTATGATCCGACCGGGTATCAAACCCACAACCTTCCGCGTCCGATGCGGACGCTTTAACCACTAGGCCACCGGAGCGGTTTGTGCTTTTTGTTTTAGGGTTTAACGCCATTTTCAGCACAGATAGGCTATATATGGCGGCCAGTATCATTAGTGGAGGAAGAAACATGTAAAACCCAGGGAAAAACCACTTACCCACGAGGCTTTCTCACTTATTCACGTTAGCCGAGTATTGACTCGAACTCACGCAGACAGAGGTGAGATGGCAGTGATCCATAACGGTCATCGCTTTAGACCACTCGGCCACTCGGTTCTAAGTAATGATTTACTGAGACTGAAACTGTGAGATGAAATATAAGGGCTAACGAAATAAACAATAAGACAATTAAATCTAGCAATAAATCGGGTGTTTTATTTCGATATTATGGTTAGGTTTATTACCTTTTGGTATACATGTAAACAACTCATTTGTTCTGAGTGGAAAATAATTTTCAATGCTTATAACCACATTTACTAACACTTACTAGAAACTAATATATTTGTTATTGACAGTGTACCAATTAAGATAAGCAATTAATTTGACTCTGATAGGTGTAATACTAATTTCATTAATGCTATCCATACGACTGCCGTGTACCTTGCTAACTTATGGTACATTACGTGACGATCAATTATTGTATAGCAGTCACTTACTTAGATTTATGTATGCTAAACGTTTGCATTTAGGAACTGAAATAATCACAAATCATACGACTAGTTTTTTTGTATCTCATTAAAATATACCCATGTTTGTTGATAATTACCTTTACTACCATAAGGAAAAGTCAATGAGGATATAGTTGGTATACTGTTACACTCGTGTTTCACGTGCACGTGTTAAAAATGCTGTGATTGGGCATCACTAAATTATCATGCCTGAAAGCATTTTAAATCAGATCCTTACCGTAAAACGTTATAAGATCATATAATGTAAAATGCATATGACAAAACAAAACAATAATACCATATTATGAAGCTGGTGCAATATACAATTATCATTTTGGCACGTCATTTCATAACAAGTGTTATTTCAGTATTAATAAATATACAGCATCTTTATGCTACATAACAACAGCAACGATAAAATAAGAAATGCACACCAAATATAATAGCAACTGCACATAATACACTTCAAAGAGTTTCATTAGGCAAAGCAATGTACAGCATATTATTAAAGATAAAACATATAAACTCAGTGGTCCACATCATATAATGTAGTATCAACTAAAAAAATTACGACAGCTTGGCGTTCCATACATTATTTATACTCGCACATGTGTATGCCTGACTATAAGTTAAGATAAAATGTAATACCAATTATTCATGGAAACTTAAACTATTTTCTGATAGACAATTGATCTGGATAAATTTTATAAAATGAAATTAATTCCTTTCCATATGTTATTTATTTAAGTATGCTAACACTGTAAATCATGCCAAATAGTGAACCCCATATATTAAAGCCGTGGCGTCACAAGGGTTGGTCGCGCCAGGTGCAGTAAATCAAGTTACCACTCTCATGGACCCCCTTCCAACACAAAAATTCACGTCATTTTGTTGTTACTTCGTCTGATGGTGTCACTAAGTACGGTCCGCAACCACGAACCCTCAAGTAACGCCACTGCATTAACAAATACTAACATTGGCTGCGTTTGTTCATGAAGTGATACTACTTTTAATGCATCATTCGGTTGTAAATCTCGCAGCTTCCAACAAACCCATGTATTTCAGTATCATTTCTTTTTAAAAATTAAATGTATATCCAAACCAGTCTATTAAATAAAATCAATCTTCGTCTTTGTGTTTTTTCCTGATTTTTTGTCTCTGGCTTCCACTTGGATTTCAGTCCCACCAAACTTGAAGCTGACTTCTACTGCATTTTCCATCCTTGAATCGTCTAGGACATCCACTGTGATTTTTCCCAGTTTACTACATCCTTCATCAGTTACATACATGGGATTACACTCATTCGAGGAATAAAAATCGAAACTGATATTCTTTTTGCCGGGCATATGAGGTCTAAATTCCATCTTGATTTGTTCTGCATTGAGTTTCACACTTTGTCCCTTGTGAACGTGGATATGAAATATGTCCACACACAGATCTTCATTTCCCACAGTCTTTCTCTTTTCTTCTCTGTGTACGCCCTTTACAAATTTCACAGATGTTTTGACGCCATAGCTGAACCTGCATACCCTGTGTCCGATCACTGCTGGGTCATGGCCAAACAAAACGGCTCCTTTAAGAACAGCATCACAGGGTTTTTTTTTGGTAAAATGACCATCTTGTTAGGAAACAAATTTTGTACCATTTCCTGCAACATTTTCGATTCTGAGAATCCACCAACCATCATAATTATGTTTACATTCTTCAAAGAATCGCCGCTGAAAAATGATTGGAGATGGTCTCTTATCTTCTGCAACACGTCAGCAAAAAATCTCTTCATAATATGTGCCTCCAGTCTCATCCTGTCAGACACTAGTTTTACTCTTTCAGACCATTTGCCCCTTGATTTAAGTGACGCTGCCATGTTTTGTTCATCTTGCTTTTCAAAAAGTTCATTTAATGAGTCAGGTACACGAATTGATACTTTCGAAGCGCTTTTTGGTTCAACTTTTCTCTTCTTCTGTTCAAAGTCCCGACAAATGCAAAGATAGTCATCCATATGTTTCTGCTTAAAATTCTCAAATACTGATTTTCCAAAGAAATCATTAAGGAAACCATAGTATGCATTGTCAACATCTGTATATCCACATGCACAACCGTTTGATCGGCATATTTCATTAAGTGATCCGTCACTCATTACTTCATGGGCAATAATGTCAATGGCACCAGCTGTAATGGCAACGCATATTAAATAATATAACATAGGGCTCGACAAACTCTTAGGAATAAACCAGATATGTATATATCAATCTAACTGCCTACCTACCTACCTACCTACCTACCTATCTGACTATTTTCCTCTCACTGCATAGATAGATAGATAGATAGATAGATAGATAGATAGATAGATAGATAGATAGATAGATAGATAGATAGATAGATAGATAGATAGATAGGTAGGTAGGTAGGTAGGTAGGTAGGTAGATAGATAGATAGATAGATAGATAGATAGATAGATAGATAGATAGATAGATAGATAGATAGATAGGTAGGTAGGTAGGTAGGTAGGTAGGTAGGTAGATAGATAGATAGATAGATAGATAGATAGATAGATAGGTAGGTAGGTAGGTAGATAGATAGATAGGTAGGTAGGTAGGTAGATAGGTAGGTAGGTAGGTAGGTAGGTAGGTAGGTAGATAGATAGATAGATAGATAGATAGATAGATAGATAGATAGATAGATAGATAGATAGATAGATAGATAGATAGATCGGTGAACGGAAGTATTGAAATTAAGATGATTTGATAATCGGACGTTTAATTGTATGTGCAACTAGTTTTTTGCAAACATGATTTACTTAGTGTCATATGGCTACGTCCATGTAGACTTGTTTCAGTGGATTATCTTAACAATTGAGCCAATATTTTGCTACCATTTACCACCGGCTGGGGAATATTTGGTCGTTATTTAACTTACTGTAGTAGCAACAAGTTTCTAATTCCATTCTATTATACTATGTTGCGTTCCTATATTAATTCTTAGTGATGTTTGTTCTTGGCGTGGTAATTGGCAAATTTGATTTAATCATAGCATCATGTGAAATGATGTAAGCACATATTTAGAGGAAACATTAGTAGTCCACACCAGTAAATACCTCTGAAAATTGAAAGCTGAACTTGAGAAGTCGACGTTTCACGACATATATTCATCCCCTAAAGTACTTGAATATGTGTTGTGAATACAAGTATTTGCGAATAGAAGACAATAAAATGAGAGTCCAGCAATTATTTATTTAAATATTACAACAGACATTGAGCAACACAGAAGTTTATATATAAGTTTGGGATGAACTAAAGGTCTCACATACCATTAGATTATTTGGGTGTGAACACACACACACACACACACACACACACACACACACACTAACACACACACGCATATATATCACAACTTGATAATTACTTAAAATAGGTTATGTAGGTCAAATAAAATCACAGTTGGTTGCATACAAAAACGTGTTCCTTACAACTTAAAGCCTCCATAATCTTTACATTCATACAATTGAACAGAAATTACCAAATGTAACTCTATGCTTCACTCACCCTACCTGAATTATTACTTGGTCCACATTATTAATGTTAATGAAATGAAACTTAATACTATATGCGTTCAGCGTAACAAAGCAGGAGATAAAATGGAAGGATACTTGCCTCCTGCGTCTATGAGGACAAACTTTTCTCCTGGCAGTAACGGACACACCTCAGCTATATATGTTGATACGGAAGGCATCCTGAAACAATACAAGGAAGCGACCTCCGGCTCCAAAGCTAAAATCAGCTGATTACTCGGAATTCCAGCCTGTACAACGGAGTTCCATATTATTAAGATCATATTTGCCAAGGAATGATACATCCATGAAAATTTATTTTTTTTTATAAAACGAAATAATGTGTGTGTACATTGTGAAGAATTTCTTCTTTATCTTCCGTGTGTATTTGTGTCGTACAGGTGTTCTTGTCAATGCTAATCTAATTTCGTTATTTCTGTCACTGCATGTGGGTCTTTTACATCATTTTGTCTTTAGATTGCCTTGGCTTACACGCTTCTGTATGTTCCGTTTTCATGTATTTTGTTATTTTATCAACTATTTTATACATAGGCTATTTCATTTTCTTCTAACAGTTAATAGATTTTCCGTATTAGATAGTCGCGTCATCCTCAAATTTATATTGTTATTGTAAATTGATTTTACCGTAACTGCAGCTTCTCTCATGAACTGTTTGGCAGGTTCATCCCAGATGGCGGGAACTGTAAGAACCCAACGAATCAGACTTCTGTCCAGGTCATCCATTGTCTGCTTGTTCAGGTTTTCTAGAAGATCATTCTTTAAATATTCGATGGTCAACGCAAAAACTGTCAAGGCAGGTAGA